GAAGCTCTGAGCTGCCTCGGTGTTGCTGATGTTTCAATGTGTGGTTTGTAGAACAGCCTTGGGGAGGGGATTGTGGTGGTGTTTTTTGTTGCTGGTCCTCTCCAAGTGATCGTTGCCCTCCTGTTTGATGGAATCCAGGGAAATTCTGCTGGTTTGTCTTTGTTGTCTCTGGGGTGCTGGCAGGATGATGGAGCAGGATGAGGAGTTTTCTGCTCCTTTTCTTAGGTAAAAATCAGGAGAGGAGTGGCTTCCAAAGGTGATTACAGATGTCACGAAAACATGTATGGGTGTGTGGCAAAAAGTAGATGATTATCAGAGAGACAATCCCAGCACAGTTACCCTGAAAGTTTTTCTGGGGAGCACTGAGGTCCCTGGGATGCTGCAGGATCCTGGTGATGGTGGTTCGGGAGGGCAGCTGCCACAGGGCTGCAGCACCCACGGAGCTGTGGGGAGCTCGTGCCTGTGCTGGGAACAAATCCCAACGGGAAAAGTGCCATTTTGCTCGTCACCACTTGGCAGCAAGAGAAGGGTATTTGTGACCCTGTGCCAGGGCCGGGATACGGGAGGGATCAAAAGGCACCTTCTGCCTCCTCCCAGGGGGAAACATCCCCGGCGCTGCATCCCCTGCCCTCAAACCGCAGCGGCTGCCCTTGAGCCTGATGGATGGAGGCAGCGGCTCCGGTGGAGCAGAGAGGACACGGAGCAGTGATCCGCATCACTAGTTGCTTCCCTTCATTTTCTCTGGTCCCGTTTTAGCCACCGGCCCAGCCGGACTCGGTGACTGCTCAGGGGACGGGGGGCCCGGAGGTGTCGCAGCGTGGGGAGAAGGCCCAGGGTCTCTGTGGGGACAGTGTGAGTCCAACCACCCTTGGAAAAGCAGCAAATCTAGAATATTCTCCTGCCCCTGTGCTTCCCGCTCTCCCCGCTGCAGAAGGCAGCCCCTCTGCCTTCAAACAGTTTCTATTCTATGTAGAGCAAGCAAAAATGATGTGTTAAATACAGCCCGGGCTGAAGCCCTGAATCAAATCAATTCCTTTTTGATTCTCCAGGCTTTTGAATCCCCAGCCCTGCCGGAGGATTGTTAGCACAAGAATGGGGCTGAAGGAGCAATCCTTTCGCAGCGCTATTGACTCAATTATTTTGCCTCTTGATTTTCTATGAGCGGCCGCGCTGATATTCTGATTGCTAATGGCAGAGCATTGTTCCGCACCTCGGGCTGGAATACCGACGGCCGGGGCTGGAACACCGCCATCCCCCCTCGCTACGGGTGGCATCGGGACCTCGTTTTATTTTGATGGATGCGCAGGGGATGTGCAGAGCACAGGGGGTGTGCAGAGCACGGCGTTTCCCCGCGGGGACCCCTCCGCTGGGCTCGGCGCTGCCTCTGCAGAGAAGGGTTCTGGCTCCCGCCGGGCCAGGCCGTGCCTGTGACCTTGCCCCGTCCGCCTCGGCATCAGCCGCTCCTGGGATGTTGGGATCGATGGGGCCAGCGCGGCACAAAGCGGCGAGGTTGCATTTACACAGAGTCACGACTATCAATATTGACAGCTCGGCTGCGAGTCCTTTGGGCCGGCCTGTGCTGTCAGCCGGGCTGGTGATGCCCCAGAGGCCGCAGGGGGGGCACCGGCAGCTCCAGCCCCGTGCCCAGGTGATGATGCTGTGCCCGGTGCTCAGGAGGTGATGCTGAGCCTGGCACTGAGTGCTGCACCCCTCCAGGTGTTCACCTCCCTTTAGCATCTCAGCTCAGGCGTCCTCAGCCACTGCTGCGGCAAAGCAGGACAGGGATGGGACGTGGCCTCGGATCCACCTCCAGCCAGGAAGGTTTGGAGCCCACGGCCCAGCCGGGCTCGCTCTTTCAAGATAAAAGAGAGGAATTCCCCACCCATCTAAAGGTGGTGAAGGACCGATAGGAAGCACTTTGAATCTCTGGATGAAAGGAACTGGGAGGAACAAAATGCTGCCTTGCTTTGAAGATGCAAAGCCCTGCATAATTCCTGAGCAGTTTTATTGGTGGCTCAAACACATCTCAGCCTTAGAAAAGGCAAAAGTAGGAACTTTCACCTGCCTTTTATTCTTGCTGATGTTTGTCACATCAGTGCCCACATGGTGCTCTGTAGGATGTGACAGAGCCCTGCCTGGTGTCACCAAGTGATGGAGACACTGGAAGTGCTGATTCCATACCCACTCCCGTCTCTCCATGACTGGAGCCAGCTGGGGTCACCCGGTTAATGCACGTTTCAGTCTTCATTGCCTTTTTAACTAGTTTTTAATCAGTAATTATTAGTGAGTGGGAGCAGTGTGCGGGCTCCTCTCCCCCGCTCCCGCAGCGAGTGCCACTCAATATGTCACGGCAATTAGCACCCAGTGGCAGCAACAGACTGTGGGCTGGACACTGCCACCATCACTGGGACCTCAGCTGGTCCCCAGGCTGCCAAGAAATGCAACAGAGAATGGGAATGTGCCTGAGCATCACCACGCACTGACCCCATCAGGGTGGAGTTGTTAATGCTGGAAAGATCAAGCTGGGTGTGCAGACTTGGGGACCTGGGCTCGCTGCCAACCAGGGATACAGTGGCATGGAGGAGGAGGGAGTTTTTCCACTCATAGCAGAAAGAGACTTTAATTTCAGGTGTGCAGTGATAGGCAAGGGGAGCATGGCTTTAAGCTGAAGGAGGGCAGATTAAGTTGGATATTAGGAAGAAATTCTTCCCTGGGAGGGCAGTGAGGCCCTGGCACAGGTTGCCCAGAGCAACTGCGGCTCTCCCAGCCCTGGAAGTGTTGGATGGGGCTTGGAGCAACCTGGTCTAGTGGAAGGTGCCCTTGCCCACGGCAGGGGGGGTGGAACGAGATGGTCTTTAAGGTTCCAACCAAAGCATTGCATGGTTCTGTGGTGTCCTTTGTTTGCCCCTCAGACCAGAAATGACGGAGTGGCGGCTGCGCGGGAGCCAGCGCCGGCCCGTGGGAGCCTGCTCCGTGCTAATTCCAGCCGTTGCCGTGGAGGTAAATAGCAGGAATCAGCCTTTGCCTGATGCACAAACGGAGTCAAGTAGCGGTGCCCTTTGCAAAGTGCTAATGAATTACAAGTGTCTCTCCACACACAGGCGCTGCCACCGCCTCGTGACCAGCTGAAATCTGCAGCCCCGCGCCCTCGACATGTGGAGCTGCTGGAACTGCTCATGCCTGACGGTATTTAAAATAATTGAATGCAGAATGGTGTAAAGGGGGTGGGTTTTTTGGGGTGGGTTTCATTATCATCAGGGTTTCAGTGCTCTCAGGCTGGGTGGCACCCGGGCTCACACTGCCGCAGGGACCGGTACCCAGCAGAACAAATGAGCTTTAAACCTCTCTATTTTATTATTCTTTATTAATAATGAGGCGGCCCTTGTAAATAACCATGAAAGGAAGTGCTTAAGCTCATAATTAATAAATACTGGCTTGATTTCTGCTGCTGAACTGCAGCCTCCAGATGCAAGGCTCTGCTAAAGAGCAGAGGGTGCTCAAATTCTCAGTGCAGGTTAATAAACCTGGGAAACACCCCCTGGGGCCTGGGGATAGCCAGGACAGCCACCTCCAGTGTGGGGTATCACAGAGCTGAGCCCAGGGGGAGGGCTGGAGGGTCATGGGGCAGGGGTGCAGGATGGGGAATTGGGGGTACAGGATGGAGCACAGGGATGCAGGAGCTTGCCTGCCCCACGGGTACCCCTGCAAGGACTCCCCAGGGATTGGTGCCCAAAGTCCCCCACATGGGTGACGCTGCACAACCCCAACAGCCCCGTCTGCCTCCTGCAGCTCATCATTTCCACTTGGCCATAAATGTTTATGACAGTAGGGAGAGAAAGTAAATCACATTTATCTCCCTTGTTTTCTTTTTATCGGGGCACTAATTTGACAGGGAAGGGAAATTTTTGCTTATTTTACAACTCTGATTTGGGCTGCAATTTGATTTCAGTAGCTGGGAGGCGAACGCAAAATCTTATTTTTATTCTGGAGCCGGTATAAAAATTTACATTTTGACACCGACCCCCACTCCCATTTCAGTGCTGCTACAGTGGGCCCGCGGGCCTCGCACAAAACACATCACCCACATATAATACACTCATAATTCACTAATGTTTGCTGAATGACAGGGTTAAGTGGCTGCTATTCCCTGCCTCCCACCACACTAATGTACTCCAGACCCGTGCTCCTTTTCTTCTGGATTGCAGTCAAATCGTTTCCTGCAGCCCTCGCACTGGAAGCTCCTTCCACCCCAAATAAACACGACTTCCGAAATTATTTTCATTTGTTTTTCTAATCTAATTTTCCCCTCGGTGCTCCACTAATCATCAATCCCATTAAGGGCTTGATGTGTTGACTGCTTTCCAGAGAGCCTGTCCTGCGTCCTGCCGTGCGCTGACCTTCACCGGCACCGTCCCTGCTGAGCCCCCCGGCACGGCTGCACCCCGGGGTGATGCCTGGGTTTGTGGGTGCTGGTGGGGCTGCAGCGTCCCCTCCATCCCTGCCCCACATCCCAACCTCCCCAGGGAAGGGACCTGCAGGAACCTGCGTCATCCCAGGTGGAATAACACCAATGTTTAAGATAAAGGAGGATGGGAGGGGGGAGTTGGCTCCGCTCCATTCTGAGTGCCAAAGGGAACAGCCTCTGGTGGAGTATCCGAGCTGAGAGGGGGTGTGAAGCCAGACAGTGTGTGTCACTCTAATGAGGAAAATACACAGCAAGGATGTGTGGGAATTCATCCAGCTGGATTGGGAACACATGGCCACCCGCTGCCCCTCCTGGATATGGGATTAGTGCTGATCATGCCACAAAAGTGCCTGGTGGGGCACAGGATGAGGGACCAGACTTGGGGCCCTGTGCAGGGGGACGGGGACAAGGGCTGTGCTGGGCCAACCCTGCCACTGGGAACAGGAGGGGTGATTGGGTGATGGGTTTTTGGGGTATGAGGCTGATCTCCCCTCCCAGAATAAATATTCCCTGCCAATGAAAGGGACTCCACGGATCTGTTCAAAACAGTTTATTGTATTTTTTCGTCAGACAAACACATTGATTTCTGGACCACAGTAGAGGATGGAAACCTTTCACAAACTTATTTATTTGAAAATACAAATATAAAATTATACTTTCCACATCTGTGATGTGAGAGACCCCCATCCACATAGTATTTTACAACAGGGCTTCAGAAAGCCATACACAGAGACCTGAAAGATGCTTGATATATATAGATACATATATATATGTATATATATAAAAAAAAAGTCACTACCAAAGTTCTCATCAGTTCATACTAAAGTATAAAAGGAAGGGCTAGGCCTGCCACTGTGCCATAGTTTATTTAGGTACATTTATGACCACCTGAAATGCTCACTTGCATCCTAGTACTGATGGAGTTCAGACCTCGTACAACAGAGAATGACGGGGGTTTGCTACCTACGACGGTCGACGCGACAGACGAGCCCAGGGCTGGAGTGACGGGGACGGCCCCGCGCCGGGCGAGTCCCGCTGCCCCCGCACCGGGCCCGCCCTGCTGGGACACGGAGCTCTCGACACAACACAGTCGGACTGTTGGGGGGACCGAGAACCGACCACGAGGATTTACTTTCTCGAGCTACTCTTTTTTTTTTTTCTTTTTTTTTTTTTTTCTTTTTCCCGTTTTTTTTTTTTTTGGTAATTTTTATTACAGTATTAAAGTATTGCTTAGCTTACAGAATCTCCTCACGTAGTGTTCGCACACGGCAATGGGTTCGACTGGATTCTGTACGTAGGAAACTCTACAGTGTCTGTGCGCAGACCGGGATCTGCCGGTGTGTCTTCGATGCATCCTGTCTCTTCGCCCTAACTCTAACCTCAGTTTTTCCTCTCTTTGAACTATTTCGCTTTTAAAAAAACAAACCAAACCACTAAAAAAAAGAATTCAGAAGATTCCACCCAAGAGACATCGCCATAGCATAAAAGACAGCTATGAGTTAGTGTTGGTTTTCGTTTTTGTAAACAGTTTCATATGCAATATCATACAGAACCATGGCTGGCCTTCAGTAAAAATGTAGTAAACTATATTGCTTTATTATTGATTATGTTGCATTGAGTGAATGGCAGAAACGAAACGAGAAGGGAGTGTGGCTGGAGTCGCTAGCCCTCATTCACACTATGGATGAAAGCAGCATCCCAGGCTGCCGAGCAGGGAAGAAAAGAAATCCCAACACCTTTCAGGTCGTTATCACCCACAATTACCTAATGGTTTAAACTAAGCCTAGCAAGATGTGTGACATTCACCAGCAGACGCTGCTGTACAATGGAAAAAAATTAACTTACAGCAAAGAGAGCCATGCTACCTTAAAGTCCAAGCTACAAATTCAACTCAAAGTGAACATTCAGGAAATATAAGAAAAATTAAAAACCCCAAAGGACAGATCAGGCTTCATTTTAATCAAGCTGATCCCAAAGGACTTGGGTTACTTGACAGGGGAGGGTCCCCGAGATCTCGTGGCTCCTGTAAAATGTCCCTGGTGTTTGGGACACGGCCTGTCCCACGGCACAGCCGGGCAGGGATGGACCCGCTGGTGCTTTGGGTGCCCAGGTCTCCCAGCGGGGTGGAAATCTCTCTTTTTGGTCATTCCGGGGGCAGCGGGTCCGTGTGGGAGATTTGGAAAGCAAAGGGCAATATCCCTCGGAATGAGGGATGCCCGGAGGGGTTGTGGACTCTCCATCCCTGGAGCTGTCCAGGCCAGGTTGGACGGGGCTTGGAGCAACCTGGTCCAGTAGAAGGTGTCCCTGCCCATGGCAGGGTGGAACTGGATGGGTTTTAAGGTCCCTTCAGCCCAAACCAGTTCACGATTCCATGATCCTTCACTCCCCGGGCTTGAGTAAAACAAAGATGGAGCTGAACCTCTGTGCTGAAAAAATTACCAAAAAAACCCCCAAACAAATGAAGAAAAAGAAAAAAAATCCTTCAAAATGGATTTCTAGATGAGTGGGGGACTAACGTGAACCTTAGTCTAGGTAGCCACATCAAAACATCTCAGATTCCACGACATTTGTGCTATGGGCCACTGGGACTTCTCAAAAGGTATATAAACATCTAAAACATATTCACACAGATTAGCAATTTCTTCTGAGCATTCTTAAAAAAATATGGTTTTTTTTTTTTCTCTTAGTAAAATCGTTTTAATATACCGTGCCTCCCTCTTTTAAAAAATAAATTAAAAAAATCCAGTTTTGCATATCTAGCATTAGCATTTAAGGTAGTATGGCACATCCCCTATCCAAAGTCAAGGGTGGGGATCTACAAATGCCTTAGGAGTTTGCCAGCATTTTTAACATTGTGAGACCTTTGGTTAGTTGAAACCGCATCAGATCAGGAAAAGAAAAATAATAAACAGAGAAAAAAAAAAACAGAAAGAAAGAGAAAAGAAAAAAAAAAAGGAAAACCTTCCCAAAATTATTAGCATTTTTTTTTTCTTAAATAAGAGAAAGTTCTATCCTTACTGGTCCTAAATCTGAATAACTACATCTAAATTTTTAACCTTAATTACGATACACCTACCAATATGTACTAGAAGGGGAAGAGAGAAAGAGGGGGGGAAAAATTCACTACACTAGCATCAGGACAGCACTCTTACAAGATAAGCCATTTTATACACTATTAACATACAACAATGATCAACAAAGAATATTCTATGAGGTGACAGGGAATGGAGAGGAAAACCAACTGGTAGTACAGTACATCATCAACATTGACAAAATAGCAATAAAAAATTCCCTGACGGCACATTGAATCACAGGGAATTTGGTTCGTCCGTGTTTTTTTTTTTTTTTTTTAAACCTTTTTATTTTTTAAAGAATCGTTTTATTTCTTTTATTACTTGATCAAGTCTCAATATTTAAAAAGCGTCCAGCATTTTGCTTAAACCTGGTTGTTCTGAAATAAGAAAAAAACCTAAAATATTACATAAAAAGCATGATTTTTTTTTAAAAACAAGAAAAACAAGGTTTTCTCCTTTCGGTTAGCAGTATGGTGCCTTGTTTTTGTTAAAGATGCCTTGCTCTACCTTGTCTATTGAATGTCTACATTAGTCTACTTGTTAGTAAAATTTACAAAAATAGGAGTGCAGCAGCTCTTTTTAACAAATGTCGCATTCAGTGTCTTATACTGGCTGTACCTAAAGTACCAAATTTATAAACGTAACAATTTAAAAAAATATTAATAAAACTTGTCAATATTACGTTAAAAAAAGAAGAAATATATCCACACTACAGTATGTTCTTAATGCCACCTACCATGTTGTACTTCTAGTTTGCTGTTGCAGGCCTATTTACCAATATTAAAAAAATTAAATTAAAAAATATCCTTCATAAGTTTCCTCCCCCAACAGAGGACCATATATATAACAGCCAAATATTAAACATGTGCAAATAGGAAACTGTCAGTTTTTCCCCTACCAGTCACAGTGCAATGATGTTTTATACTTTATTTCTTTTAAATTCTGTTTACAACTACAATAAATTAAAATCTTCCGTTGCTTCTAGGGTGAAACTTGTAGCACTGAGGTATTCCCAAAAAAAAAAAAAAAAAAAAAAAAAAGAAATCAAAACCAACCAAAGTTGCCTTCCTAATTTGTTGATGCAGAAAGTGATGGATAATAAAGGAAACCATGCAAGCTGGACACCGCTCTGCCCGCAGCGGGGACGGCCCCGGGCTGGGCAGGGTGCCCAGAGCGGCTGAAATGACTGGACAGCAAGTTGATCTAGTTTAAAACAGTGACTGAAAAATAACAAAAGAAACCAACAAATAAAGGTGTGCTTTGAACCGTAAATGCGTTGAGTAGGAAAAAAAAAAATCGTAGCTTCTTGATCAGTCTTGGGAAAAGCAGGCTTTAAATTAAAATAAAAATACCACTAGACTGTTCCTCTGTAAGCTGTGCACGTCTGAGAGCGAAGCTGCTGGTTTGAACCGGGAGAGCTGGGAGGGTCCCACAGCGTCACGACCCACCCCGGGCCAGCTCCGGCAGTCGCTCCAAAAGGCTACAACTTCCTTGTCTTTTTTCTTCCGTTTTCATAGAGAAACTGCCTTAGGCTGACTCCATCACAAAAATAGGTTTGTATTTCTCTTTCTTAATAGTTTCTATGTAGTTAATGGAATTGTATTTACAGCATTTTATTATTTTTTTCTTTTTTTTTTTCAGAATTCACAATTTCAAAAAACCTTATATCACCTCTTTCAACAAAAAAAAGCACTTATAGAAAAAAGGACGCGCAAAAAGTTTGTCGCCCTCGCCTTATTGCCGAAAATAGAGAGAATCAGAGTTAACGAAGACGCCACAAAGGAAAAGAAGGGCTAGAGAACCTGTTGCTCAACCCCCTCGTGCCCCACCGGCCCCCCCGTGCCGTGCCCACCGCCGGGACCGGCGGCTGAGACTCCTGTCACCATCTCAGCATCCTTTAAGCAACAACAACTGCGTAAAACGGGGGTGGGGGGAGGTGGGAAAGAAAAACCAAAGAAACCCCTTAATATAACAATTCCACTATGGTTAGGCTGCGCTAGGTACACAAAGAATTCCGACTACGTGGCTACGAGACTATGTCAAACGCTACGAAAAAATGTGGGTTTGGAGAGGTTTAAAAAGGGGGGGGGGGAACCCATCGAGAAAATAAAACCAACAAGAAATGGGTTTTATATACATACTTTTAAAAGCTGTTGTTTTTATAGTACAGCAGATTCATGAGATGATGAGAGAGATTTTAAACAACCCAAGTCCTTCGAGTGCCACCTCCAGTTTGTGTTGGCGGTGAAGATGATGATGGTAATGATGTAGTGCTCAAAGTCTGATGAGATCACCCAACGTGGGCCCCTTCAGAAACTTCGCCCTGTCTTGCCCGGACATCCAGAGAGACTCTGCGAGGGGAGAAGGTGGACATGGACATGGGGAGAGGGACAGTTAATTGAGGTCAATTAGGATTTTTAACAAAAAAAACCCCAATTGTTTGCAAATGCTTTGCAAAGCCACAGCCTGCTCTGATCCACGCTGAGCGTGGATGCAGAGAGACAGGCTGGAATGCCAAGGTGTTCCCTGGACAGCCCTCACAAGAGAGGGTATTATCTCACGTATTCCCTGCTCTCACTTTCCAGTTCCATCCCAGCTAAGGCTTGACTGGGGATGGGTTGGGCTTAGCTGAGGGTTGGGCTGGTTTAGGAACAGTAAAATGATACATGGGAACAACAAAAACTGTTCCTCAGGCACCTGTTACACCAGGAATTAACACAGCTTCGGTAAAAGGAGTTCTCTCTGAAGTACTTGGAAGGTGACAACTCCTACCCGGGCACGCTGAGGCAGCCAGGATTTATTTTATATCAGAGGCTTCAGCTTCCAGTGCTCCGTCCCTGCTGGTGCTTAACACTGAGACATATAATGTATAAAAGAGATATAAATATTAGGGACTGGCTCTGCAGGCAGCTGCTGGCAGGACTGGCTGTGGCCAGGACACTCCCTGCTCACAGATTTGGGATGAGCTCCAAAACCCAATCCCAATCAGCTGTGCTCAGGGTGAGGTCTCACCAGAACCCCACAGGGATGTGGGAGTTGATCCCTGCCCTGAGGACCCACAGCTGAGCCAAATTCAGCCCCTCCAGCCCCATCCTGCTCCAGGGACGTGGGGACAGCCGGGGCAGGCGAGGGAGCCGCCGGATGTGCCGCTGCCACAAGAACCTCAAACTCAGTGTTCCTTGAGGAATTAATAATAAGGCTCATTTCCTCCTCTCAAAAATCTATTTTAATTAGTAATGAGCAACATTAAAAGCACTTTGTTTTTAAGTCGTTAATGGTTTGAGTCTTAGCACTGGGCAGTAACTGATGGTTAGGGGGATGTGCTGTGGTGAGAGCCGAGCGATTACAGCTCATCAATCTGGCGACGGCGCCGTCACCGCGCGTTATTAGCCTGAGTTATGATGTTCTGCTCAGGCTCCAGCCGGCCCCAGGTACCACCTCGCTCCTCCAAAGGCTGACGGCCCAGAAAACGCGAAGGGTTCTGACAAATCGATGGGTGAAAAGACACCGATACGTGCAAGTAACGGCTGGGATTAAGCAAAGAGTGCTTATGGCACTTCCCTCTTTCCCACAGAAAACACTCCTTGCTGGAGCAAATCAATTTCAGGTGATCTTGGGGGTGTGTGTGGAGATGGAAAGTAAACAGAACCCCCTTTTATCCACTAGTGTTTAGGTATAGATCTATTTTTATGTAATTTAAAGCCTCCAACCATTTTCCAGCTCCCAGCCCCCTGACTAACTAACTCTAATTTTGTAGACTGATTTTTGAACGTAAAACATGTGACAGTGATCAGGTAGTGCTGGCAGGAGGCAGGGAAATAAAATCTGTAGTATCCATTCCATCTGCCTGTCAGGGCTCGGTGCTCTGCAGGTAAACCTGTGCCATTTAATTGGGATAACTTCTGTTTTTCATTGAATTTTCTAATCTATTCCATGCCGGGTGTTAAGAATATTTGTTTGCAAAGACGAATATGCCAAAGGCCAAATAATAATAAAAAATAAAAATTAAACATTTAATTAACTCGAGCTTAGTTCAAAGGGTAGGAAACTGGCAGCGATCCAGGGCCATGGTGCTCAGGTAATGTCTTTAATTTAATTTGCTCAGGTTTAATTTTTTTTTTAATCTTGATAATTGCTCTATGGTTACGACTTACAATGTTATCTTTTAGCTGTAATATTTGGTACAGCACTTAATTATGAATGATGGTTTCTCCATAGTAAAGCAGTGGGGCTCAGCTATTTTTAGACCAGTGCACTGGGAGCAGATCTCTGATCCCACTGGGATTGCTGGATGCTGGCCCTGGGGTGACTCCCCACAGCTTTCTGGGTTTTCTGCAGCATTTCCTGCTCTTCAAATTACTGCACAAAGCATGATGAATATGAAAAAGGAATTTTTGGGGGGGTTAGCTCTGGATCTGTCTTCCAGTTTCCGACCTGTGAGGTTGATTTGAGTAACACAAATCACAGAAAGGAATGATTAAAGGCCAAGGAAAGACGAAATGAAGATAAAAAATTGTTCACTTAAAGTAAATATAGGGGAGATGGTAGTTCAGCACAAAGTACAAATGGGATATACTGTAATACCTCCAAGTGAGATGGCAACCAACCATGTGTAACGTTTCAATGGTATCCATTTGTAAAAGCCGTTGCAATCAAAGGTCCCTAAAATTGTACAATTGTTAAGTTCATCAGTGCTCTATACATGGGAACAGCTGATTATTAATTTTGCCAAGAAATTATCAAAGGACTTGAAAGACTGTGTTGCCAGCATGAATAGGGATTTCCAAGAGCTGTTCTGGTCACCAGGTGTGCTCAACCCTATGGTTACCTTTCCAAGACCATCATCTTCTCATTCCCCCAGGTGCAAAAATAAGCTTTGGGGTCTTCCCTGCTTTATTTTTAAACCAGGGTTAGTAAATGGAGAGTGTTAAATAAATATGTACGTAAAAAAAGCTACGGGATTCTTTGCAGTTATTGGGGGAATTAAGAGGCTGCCAATCTGCAAGTTAATTATAAAATGGTTTGGGGGAGTTAGTGCAGACAAATCCGGATACCCAGGTTTGGACCTCGCATCCTATCACTTGAAAAACTGGGATATTGCTGAGGCCAAAGTGCCCAAGTTTTCAAGCACAAACAGGTCTTTCTCTTTAGGTGAAAAATGGAGGTGTTGTAAGTGGCAAGAGATGGCAGTTTTGAACTGATGTAGCTCCTAGCAGAGCAGTAATACCCCATGTTTGGTACTAGGACCGATCCACAGGGATTGCCAAGTCCCTGGTGTGACCATGGGAGGGGTAGGGTGGGCACTGAGGGCACAGAGGGAGGCAGGGGGTTCGTTTGTCTTTTTTGGGTACCGGTTGCTTATGCAGTGGAAGTAACACAACTTCAGGAAGTTTGTCTGCACTACACTCCCGCTCCCTCCCCCCAGTTCCATCAGGGAGCTGAGTTCTCCACTCAGTTTGCGGGATGCTCAGGGGAGCCTCTGCACTTCCTCCTTGTACGAGGGGAAAAAAAAAACCACCTCACAATTTCACTCCGGAAAGGGCCGGAGCCGCCGGTGCAGACGGAGTGTGGGCGAGTGCCAGCCGTGGCAGGGCAGCCCCATTCATGCTCACACACAGTGACACAGCCACGTGCAGCCTGGTTAAGCCAATCTGTGCCCCTCATTAGTGCGATCGCAGACCCAACGCGGCGTTAGGAGGCACCTCCCAGCGACCCGACAGCGGAACGGAAGCCACCTGCTCATAACCTGCGGATTTGAGGGACTGTGAGTGATGCCAAGGCTGGCTGGAAGCGATTCCAGGGGTCAGCAAACCAGTGAAGGGCAGCAGGACATGGCTGCTCCCTCACCAGGCTGGCTGTGGCCAACCCGGGGTCCCACCAGCTGAATTAATGAGCTGATTTAGGTGGGAGCAAGGGACTGCTGCTCTATCTGCAACAGGGGCATCAGCCAGGATGGGTGGCTGGGCTGATATAGAGCCCATATGGATAAGCAGGAATTTAAATCCCATAAGTATTAAATATTCCCCTTTGAGACGTGTCCGGTCTGGTTGTGGAAGGCTCCAGACGAGCATTTGTGCCAAGAGAGGTTCAGGTTGGATATTAGGAATAATTTCTTCACCAAGAGAGTGGTTAAGCATTGGAATGGGCTGCCCAGGGCAGTGGAGGGGTCCCCATCCCTGGAGGAGTGGCAATTTGTGACACAGTCCGGTTGACAAGGTGGCGATCGGTCAGAGGTTGGACCTGAGGGCTTTTCCAACCTTGATGATTCTGCGATTGATGACTCTGATGATTCCAGTGTGGTGGGCTGGGCAGCTCTCACAGGTTACGGCAGCAAGGCGCTGCGCTCGCTGTCGGGTCACAGTCACCAAACCCGAGAGAAACCCCCTTCCCCACCCATCGAGCCCGGCCCCGGCCCGGGCGCGCGGTACTTACGGCGATGCCGTGTCCGAAGCCGGAGCCCGGCTGCGGGCTGGCGGCGCTTATGTAGTTACCCACGCCGGAGTCCTGGCTGGCCGTGCCGTAGAGATCCGCGACGGGCCCGGGGCTGTTGGCCCCGGGGAAGCCTCCGGGCCGCGCTGGGTTGGAGCCTGCCGGGGAAGCGGGTGCGCCAAAATTCGGTTGAGCACTGTAGCTATTCAAGACTGGTGTGCAGAGAATAAAGCTGGGTATGAGGCCAGACGCCGGGCATGCACCGGTATTACAAAGCCAAACACCAGAATAAACAGCCTAGGCCCAATTCTAACACTTAACCAAGGCCATGCGAGAGGAGAGCAAGTACTGGAGAAGAGTCAGCCCGGACTACTACGAAGCTTAGAGCTCCAAAAATATATATATGGATATATATAAAAAAAAAAAAAAAAAAAGAACAATCATTCAACACACTACTGCAACCAGAGACTGGAGGTGCTCATTTTCACCAAATTATCACAAAATATAATAGGTATTTTTCAACATCTGACTTGATGCTCATGCAGTAGTAACAAGTTCTCTAGGTCTGGGCACGCCGAGACAGCATTCACATCCCATGCAAACTACAAAGGAACTAGTTTGAGACTACACATTGTGGTAATATTGATATTAAAATGTTGACAGCAAATAACTTCAATCACGTCTAGGAAAATTGTTTTTTTTTTGGATCCATTCGATACTTTTGGAAAAAACCCGCCCTTTTAGATCAGTAAGCTGTAGAAATAGTTCAATAGTTGATTTTTTTTCTTTAAATGGTATGGAATGGAACAGTTTGGATTTTTTTTCTTTTAAATATGACCAAGGAGAGTGTTGTTTTATTTTATATTTTTCCTTTTGATTTGGAGAGCGAAGACCTACCTTCGTCTCCAAAACCATGCTTGGGACATCAACCAAAATTAAACAAATAAATAAAGATCAAAAGCAAAAAATAATTCCAGAGGGTGGATGACAACTCACCTCCTAATGTGGAAGTAAAGGAAAATTTTATTTTTTTCCTCCCTTTATAAATTTTTTTTTTTTTGAGAAAGAAAAACAATGTAAATAAGAATGACACTAAAGAAGAGATTTAGATATTAAAGCATGTTAGATGATCAGGCCTCTGGCATTTCTCACGGCTGCCCTTGGATGTAGAATTTATGAGTAAGAAGTTTCAATGCGAAAGAAAAGTCAGCGGACGGGGAGGAGCTGGATGGAGATGGCTGCGGGAAGCTGGAGCTACACCTGGGTGGTACCTGCAAGGTCCCTCAGGAGCACACAGAGCCTGGACCCCCCACACCCCTGGGGCCTCACCAAGCCCCCACCGCGGCCAGCCCCGAGACACGAACGGCCAACGGGGCCGGACATGGGCAGGGTGCCCAAACCACCAGGCACCCAACCCCATCCCCTCCAGCACCAGCCTTCCAGGCTGAACCAAGACTTCTTCAGCCTTTTTCCTCTGGCTGCAACTTCCCAGGATCTTCATTAAACACTGCAGAGGGTTATAAAGCCTGCAGCCTGCACTGCCCCTCGCCCACAGCTCCAGACTGACCCGGGCTTTTCCTGGGCATGGGAGCCAACCCAGGAGCAAGCCCTGTGCTCTGGCTCTGTCCAGCACTGCCCACGGGCTCTGGTGGGCTCAGCCTGACCTGCTGTGGAGCCACCACCCGTCCTGCCATGGCCCTTTCCCCTGCATCGCCCGCCCAAGGGGTCCCCACTTTTCAAATGAATGAATTAACTGGTCAAAAAAAAGGCCACCCTGCAGTTGGTGGCTTTGTGGTGACAGGAAAGCCAATTTTACAAAATAAATGATTCACTGCAGCTCTGAACCGGTAGCAGGGGAGGGTAAGTAGGACATCTAAGCTAGCAAGTTAAAAGAAATAAGGCATCAGAGAGTAAACAGATTTTGGACTTTGCTGGCAAACAAAGTGCCTTTTTTATTATTAAAGATTAAATGTCAAGATAACATTTGGCCTTCTCACTCGTGAAGAAAAATATCCAGCTGAGATGTTCCAAAGCCCTTTATTACTAGAAGCCAGCACTTTTCCCTTTTTTCCTCCTTCTGGTTCAATAAAATGGATGTGAATTTCCCTGCCAAGTCACACAGAAAACCCAGTTGGCCTGTCTGAGCGACAGCAGGAGCACAGCAGCGGGACACAGCACAGAGAGGGGGATCCTGTCAGTAAAACACTCCTGCAAACCCCGTGGCAGCACCAGGGAAAGCCATCACCATCACCCTGGGGCGTGGGCAGGGACAGACAGACATCACTGTGGCACCCAGAGGGACAGGGCTGTGCCAGTAACCCGTGACCACAGAACCATGCACGGTGACAAGGGGCACACCTGTGTGTCCTGAAACCTTGAGAGGAGCAAACAGAGGCTGAGGAGCCAGAGAGATGCTCTGCCCTTCCACTCTCATTTGCATCTCTAGGATTGGAAACACTGTTTTCACACCTGCAGGAAGACCTGGCACTGGGTTATTCAGAGTCCTGACTGCAGGTAGGTAACGTAAGAAAAAGGTAATTTTTCCATCTCCTGACCCTGGGTCGAATGCTCCACACTGCTCACAGGAGTGCCCGTGGAAAACAGGCACGGCAAAGGCTGCTCCACCACCCAGCAAGTGCTGTGCAGAGGCTGGGATGCCCTGGCACTGCTCCATGTGATGCCTGAAAAACTCTACAGAAAGGGCTGGAAGCTTTTCCAGAGCTAACACTTCACTCCAGATGCAATCAATGAAACAGAAAGCTCCCAGAATCAGCAGGAGGCTCAGCACGCCTCAGAAAGCCACATTCTAATGATTCGCTCAGCCATGCTTGGTTGCTAAATATTTGTCTTCTTCCAAGAGCTCAGGTGAGCTCACATGGAGCAACAGGCACTTTTACCACTGCTTGGAAACAACAGCAAAGGGGACCTTGAACAACTTCCCCAACACACAAATCCTGATGCTTTCTTGTAAGAAACACCTGGAAACGAGTTTGTTTTACACAAACCTGGAACAATCTGAGACCCAAAGGAAGAAATAAAAAATGCCTGAAATCCTCCAGACTCCAGACACTGCTTCAGCAAGAAAAGTTAAGACTTTCTGGATATGTGTCATTATGACAAAGTTGTGAGGAGGCAGGAACTGTGCAAGTGCCATGGCTGCCACGAGCTGTGGAATCACAGAGCACTAACATGAACTCCTTGCAGGCTGGAAGGAACTGGAGACTTTCCCCTGGCCACTGACAACTCATGGCAAGAACAGGATTCAGGGCAGACATCTGGAAATTCATTGCTGAAGAACTCTCAGGGGACTGTGCTGCCCCAGGAGGGGAGGGAACCACTGACCATACCCTGATGCCAGTCAGTGTGGGCCTGACCTGCTGCCTGGTGCCAGCAGAGGCACTGGCCGAGCTGACCACCAGACTGATTCAGCAAGGCCTGGGGGCTGGCAGGGTCATCTCTTCCCATTGCAAGGACTGTCAGCACTCAGGAAATCCTGGCAAAGGGCCCATTTCCAACATGCTCTGAAAGGTTCTGGTCCCATTTCCCAACCAATCGCACAGGAAGCCATCCTGCACCAGGTGACTTCCCAGCTCCGAGGCTGTGGTTAAGTGCCTCCAGCTCAAAGGCTTCCTCTATGCATAATTTGCAATCCCAAGTGTCCCCTGGAAGCCCTGTGATAGATCAAGGTCAGGAGAGATGTGGAAAAGATTAGATGTGTCTGTAAGTCACAGCCAACCACCTTTTATCTTCAGCCCCAGTGATCCTCCATCCTCTGGGCTACAGAAGCTCCTTCCTATGCCGATGGAGATCAAGGGCCAGCAGTCAGGAGCTGTGGCAGTGATGGGAACAGGGCAGTAATAATGTCTTGCTCGCTTCACTTTGAATTTGCTGTGGTTTCTTACAGAAAAGGCTCTGAGCCAGTGAATTTTGATCAGCAGGTGAACGTTTGCCTGCAGGCCAGAGGGACAGGGAGCCTCGGGCTTATTCTGCCCAGTGTCGTGGTGCCTGGGGGAGTGCTGAAAAGCAGCGAGGGAAAGCAAGATGGGGCACAAAACATTATAAAAAATGCAGGTCCACAAAGCAGCCCCAGAACAGGCTTTTTTTTAACTCCAAGTGTTGGTGCTGGTGGAGTTGGGAGCTGCTGTGCAAGGCTGGCACAGCAAGAGCTGGACCTCTCCAGGCTGCTTTACCACCGACTCCTCCTGCATGCTGCAGCAGAGCCGTCTTTATCCACACCTGACACGCGTGTAAGATGATTTCAGTGCTCAGGCAACAAGTGAATTATGTCAAGGAGCCAAGAGCTGGAACCCCAAAGAGCCTGGCAGCCCAGGCTGAGGCAGGGGCAGCAGGCTCAGGGCTGGGCGCAGGGATGTGCATCCAGTGCCTTCTTCTGCAAACTGCCGTGTTAACACAGAGCCTGCTCACACGTTAATCCGTGTTCTACAAGAAAGGTCATCACTGAAAGATAAACTCTCTCTCAGTGAACTCTTGAGAAATTGCTACGTCAGGGTTCCTGCTGACATTTGCCTTACGAGCAGCGTGTTACGCTAACGAGGATCCCAACGCCACGGGGGTGGAGAGGGCAGCTGGGTAAAGCACAACCAGCTGGATGCTGGAATCCCACCCAAACAAACTCCACTCAGCACGAATGATGAAGGGAAAGAGGGAGGGGAAAGGAGAAGAAACGTGAGGACTTTGACATTACTGTCCTACAAGGGGAACTCACACAGTACCAGGCTGACAGTCAGGCCCTTAGGGACTCGTAAATGAGACCTGATGACAAAGAAATGGTTTTAAGCACCACTAAAATAAGCTGTAGTTCAAAGGAAACAAACCAGGGGAAATATGGACAGAGGAGACAGACACTGCATGGGGATCACTGTCCCCTGCACACAGCCCACCTGGAGCCTTGGGTGACACTCCTTCCTCTCCTACAGCACCAAAACCCAAAGACTTAAACACCATTATGGGGAGTAATAACAAATACGAGTATTTCAAAAGTTAGAAAAAAAAAGATGAGGAAGGGTGCAGAATGTGGTTGGAGAAATGTGTGGCTGCCTTCCCTGCCCCGGTGCAGGCAAGGAAATCCTCATGTGTGAAAGAAACCACCACGATTTACTGGATTTCCTCTCTGAGCAGAGGCAGGGTATTCAGGATG